GAATTTGTGCACTGGGCCCCAAGTATGTATGTGTGTGTGTGTGTGTGTGTGTGTGTGTGTATACACACACATATATGTATATGTATATGTATATATGTATATATATAGTATTGTGGTTTTTTCACTTTATAATAGTGTTTAGTTTTTTCTCTTTTATTAATTCACAGAAACAGTAGTAATAATAACAATAATAATGGCCAATATTTATTGAGTACCTGCTTACCATATGCCAGGCACTATTTTAAGCAATTTATATATAATAATTCATATAGTCTTTACAATATTCTTTACAATGGGCACTATTAATATCTCTGCTTTATAGATGAAGAAACTGAAGCACAGGCATCGAATCTACACACTAAGTCACATACTAGTAAGTGGCAAAGCTGGGTGGTTTCAATCTAGAAGGCCATATGCTTGAACTACCTTCCTCTCCTACCTCTAGTTCTACTTCTTTCATATTTAATGAAATAAGGTAGTAATATATTACCCTTTCCAATCCGTTCTCTCTCCTTTTTCCCTTTTCCCCTCTCTTTCACGCTCTTCTTTTTGCTACAATTTGTTGACTACCTACTCTGTGTTCCAAACTATGCAGGGTTCTATATATACAAAGGCAAATGTATATATATATAAAAAAAACAGCATACAGAGAAATTTAAGGGAACACAGAGGAGGAACATCTAACCAAAATGGAGAGATGGGGGTCAAACAAGTCTTTCTGTAATAGATGATCTTGAGCAGTTTTGAAGGGTGAATAGGAATTAACTACTGAGACACAAGCAAGGCTAAGAGGAAACAAACAGGCTCTGGAGTCAGATCTAAGTTCATTCAAATCAGGTTCTGTGTGACCTTGAGCAAGTTACTTAAAATTCCAGCCTCATGTCTCTCACATAGAATGGACAGCATAACACCTACTTTTCATGACTATTATGCAAATTAAGAATGATGACTATGTATGAAAAAATGCTCAAAATCACTGATCATCAGAGAGATGCAAATTGAAATGACAATGAGGTATCACCTAACACCTGTCAGAATGGCTACCATCAACAAATGACAAGTGCTGGTGGGAATATGGAGGAAAGGGAACTCTAGTACACTTCTGGTGGGAAGGCAGACTGGTGCAGCTATTACGGAATTTCCTCAAGAAATTAAATATGGTACTGACCCAGTGATCCTACTTCTAGGAATATATCCTAAGAAACCCTAAACACCCATCAGAAAGAATGTACGCACCCTTATGCTCATAGCAGCACAATTTACAATAGTTAAGCTCTGGAAACAGCCCAAGTGCCCATCAGTAGCAGAG